ACTGACTCATCACTTCGTCACCAATCACTCCCTAGATTGAATATGGAGGAGGTATCAGGCGGGAGCCTCGTCGGTGAGTGAATTGCGAGGAAGTCTCAGGCGGGAACCCCCTCCCTATGGGGCCCGCACTTCATGTTGGTAATCCGAACGGGTCATCCTGAAACATGTAATTAACTGTCGTTACTTTGGGGCTCCTGAGGCCTGAATATGGGGGAATTATCAGGCGGGAGCCTTGTCTGTGAGTGAATCGCGAGGAAGTCTCCGGCGGGAGCCCCCTCCCTATGGGGCCCGCACTTCATGTTGGTAATCCGAGCGGGTCGTCCGAAACGTGTAAGTGTCGTCACTCTTGGGCTCCTGAGGCCTGAATATGGAGGAAGTATCAGGCGGGAGCCTCGTCTGTGAGTGAATTGCGAGGAAGTCTCCGGCGGGAGCCCCCTCCCTATGGGGTCGCAGGTCATGTTGGTAATCCGAGCGGGTCCTCCGAAACGTGTAAGCGTCGTCACTTTTGAGCTCTTGAGGCCTGAATATTGAGGAAGTATCAGGCGGGAGCCTCGTCTGTGAGTGAATTGCGAGGAAGTCTCCGGCGGGAGCCCCCTCCCTATGGGGCCCGCAGATCATGTTACGAATCCGAGCGGGTCATCCTGAAACCTGTAAATGTCGTCACTTTGGGGCTCCTGAGGCTTGAATATGAAAGAAATATCGCGCGGGCGCCTCGTCTGTGAGTGAATTGTGAGGAAGTCTCAGGCGGGAGCCCCCTTCCTATGGGGCCCGCAGATCACGTTACCAAACTGAGGCTGGTCATCCTGAAACATGTAACTGTCGTTACTTTTGGGCTCCTGATGCTTGAATACGGAGGAAGTGCCAGGCGGGAGCTTCGTCTGTGAGCGAATTGCGAGGAAGTCTCAGGCGGGAGCCCCCTCCCTATGGGGCCCGCAGATCATGTTATTAATCCGAGGCGGGTCATCCTGAAACTTGTAACTGTCGTCACTTTTGGGCTCCTGAGGCTTGAATATGGAGGAAGTATCAGGCGGGAGCCTCGTCTGTGAGTGAATTGCGAGGAAGTCTCCGGCGGGAGCCCCCCTCCCTATGGGGCCCGCAGATCATGTTACGAATCCGAGCGGGTCATCCTGAAATTTGTAACTGTCGTCACTTTTGGGCTCCTGAGACTCGAATATGAAGGAAGTCTCAAGCGGGAGCCTCGTCTGTGAGTGAATTGCGAGGAAGTCTCCAGCGGCAGCTCCCTCCCGATGGGCCCGCACATCATGTTCGAATCCGAGGCGGGTCATCGGATTCTACTAACTGTCGTCACTTGGAGGTCTGAGGACGGATGTTAGGACCGATTTTGAGGATCGAAGGGGAACTACGGCTTGGCTACGGCATGGGCATCTACTGGGAGACGCTGGCGGGGTGGATCAACACGCGCGCCCGTCGCGACGCGCGGCGCCTCGGCGTCCCCCTCGTTTTCCTGCGGGCCGTAGACGAGTGCGGCACGATTCAAGGCGACCCAGACGCAGGCCGGCGCCTCCTGAACGTTCCGAACATGCACAAGACCGGGGACATCCACTGCGTCTTACCGACTCACGTCAGCATGGAGGTCCGGTTCACGGCCGTGCAGGAGGAGCTGAAGAAGAAGTTGGGGCTCGTGCAGGAGCAACGGGCCACCATCGTGTCCTTCGAGTTTCACGCAGACGACGAGCGGGACTACGAGGAGTGCGCGCCGGGCCAGCTCTTCCGCCCCCGCTACCTACCGCAGGGAATCTGGCTGCAGGTGCACGGTTTCCAGGAGTCCCAGATCGACAAGGAGGTCGCCGAGGTGCTGCAGCAGCGCGCCGATGGCGCTGGCGACGACGGCGAGGCCGAGGCGCGGGCGAGGAGCTTGCTCATGTTCAGGCCCAGCGAGCAGGAGCTCACGTGGCAGAGCTCGGGGGCGCACACCGTGCGCCGCTCGGGGTTCACCCTGACGCATGCGTCCTACCTGACCTCCACGCTGTCGCAGGGCCAGACGCTGCGCAAGGGCGTCACCATCGACTGCGCCAGGGATGAGGACGCTGGCCGCACGGGCATGTCGGACGAGACGCGGTGGCTGCACCTCTACGTCATGTTCTCCCGCGCCACGCGCATGCGGAACATGCTGATCCTGCGGCCGCCCGCGCGAGAGTTCCTGGAGCGCGGGCCGCCGGCGTCCCTGCGGAAGGCGCTGCAGGAGTTTGACAAGAGAGCGGTGGGCTCCAGGGCTGAGGCGGAGCAGCTCGCGGCAGAGCTGGGCTTCGTGCTGCCACCCGCCTGAGCGCCGCGGCGCGCACCTGGAGGCCCGCGGGGTTGCCCCAACGGCTGGCCCCCGGGCCACTGCGGCCTGCGAGTTTGTGCCAACGGCCTGGCCCGAAGGGTTGCCCCGACGGCTTCGCGATCTAGCCGTCGGCAAACGCGCGCGCGCTGGCCGGCGCGGCGACGGCGCCGAGGAAAATCGAGTTGCTCGCCACGACCAGGGGGAACGGGAGGTGCACGTGGAGAAGAGGCAGGAGGATGAGGAGGGAAGGGGCATGGGGGAGGGCGACGACGAGGAGGAGGTGGCGCGAGAGGAGGAGGAGGAGGAGGAGGAGGAGGAGGAGGAGGAGAAGGAGGAGGAGGAGGAAAAGGAAAAGGAGGAAGAGAAAGAGAAGGAGGAATAGAGGGCAGCGCAGAGGGCGAGAGGAGAGGGTGTCCGCCAGGGGGAGGAGGAAAGGGCAAAGGGTAAGCTAAACAGATTCTCATGTGGGGTCCTACCGTCGGAGTAATTGAATTTTTTTCGGGTTCCCCCCCAAAAGGCCCCATGGCGCTCCAAGAGAGCCCGAGCCCGCCCAAGACGGCCCAAGAGGCCTCCAAGAGGCCCCCAAGAGGCGCCCAAGGGGCGCCCCAAGGGGCGCCTCAAGAGGGCCCAGAAGGCCACAATCATTCATTTTCCTTAAGGGGAACGTGAATGTTTAGCATATACGGCTTTTCGGTTTTCACGGCGTTGACGACGGCCCAAGACGCCCCCAAGACCGCCCCGAGACAGCCCAAGAGGCTCCCAAGAGGCCACCAAAACGCGCAAGAGGGCCCCCAGACGGCCCAAGAGGCGCCCAAGACGGCCCAAGAGGCGCCCAAAACGGCCCCAATTGGGGGACCACGAACCGAAAAGTTTAGCCTTTCGCCCCAAGACGCTCCCAGGAGGCCCCAAGAACCCCCCAAGAAACCCCAAGAGGCCCCCCAGAGGCGTCCCACGAGGCCACCAGGAGGCCAAGATCATTGATTTCCGGTGGGGAAATACATTTTTACCATACCCGCTTTTCGGTTTTCGCGGCGTTGAAGAAGGTCCAGAATGCCCCAAAAACCACCCCCAGGCGGCCCAAGAGGCTCCCAAGAGGCCCCGAAAACGGCCCCAGAGGGCCCTCAGACTGCCCAAGAGGCGCCCACGACAGCCGAAGGGGGCCCCAAGAAGGCCCTAAGAGGGGGACCACGAACCGACAAGTCTAGCCCTTCGCCCCAAGAAGCTCCCAGGAGGCCCAAAGGGCTTCCCAAAAAGCCCCAAGAGGCCCCCAAGAGGTTCCCAAGAGGCTTCCAAAAGGGCTCCCAAAGGGCCCCAATGGGACTCCCAAGAAGGCCCAGAGACGCCAAATAAAGAGCGATCGGTAACGCAAAAAGCTCTTCACACCAAGGCTGCTCAAGAGCGAACGGTGACGTAAACAAGCTGATAAGACCAAGGCTCCCAGCAGAGAGCGGTGACGCAACAAGTTCCTGACACCAAGGCCCAGCCAAGGCTCAGGAACGGCGGCAACGCAAGAGGCCACAATCATTAATTTTCCCTGGGAAAACGTGCATGTTTAGCATATACGGCTTTTCGGCTTTCACGGCGTTGACGACGGCCCAAGAGGCCCCCAAGACCGCCCCGAGACGGCCCAAGAGGCTCGCAAGAGGCCCCGAAAACGCGCAAGAGGGCCCCCAGACGGCCCACGAGGCGCCCACGACAGCCCAAGAGCGCCCCAAGACGGCCCCAAGAGGGGGACCACGAACCGAAAAGTCTAGCCTTTCGCCCCAAGACGCTCCCAGGAGGCCCACAGAGCCCCCCAAGAAGCCCCAAGAGGCCCCCAAGAGGCGTCCCAAGAGGCACCAGGAGGCCAAAATCATTGATTTCCTCTGGGAAAAGGTACATTTTTACCACACCGGCGTTTCGGCTTTCACGGCGTTGACGACGGTCCAAGAGGTCCCAAAGACCGCCCCCAGACGGCCCAAGAGGCTCCCAAGAGGCCCCCCAAACGGCCCAAGAGGGCCCCCAGACGGCCCAAGAGGCGCCCAAGAGGGCCCCAAGAGGGAGACCCCGAGCCGAAAAGTCTAGCCTTTCGCTTCAAGAAGCTCCCAGGAGGCCCCAAGAACCCCCCAAGAAGCCCCAAGAGGCCCCCAAGAAGCCCCCAAGAGGCCCCCAGGATTCCCAAGAGGCCCCCAAGAGCTCCAAAAGAGGCCCTCCAACGGCCCACAAGTTCCTGACACCAAGGCCCAGCCAAGGCTCAGGAACGGGCGGCATCGTAACCATCTCTGAACACCAGGGCTCCCAACGGAGACGGCTACGCAACAAGGTCTCCACACCAAGGCTCCCAAGAGCGAAGGGTGCCACGAGCTGTCTCGGGCAAGTGGCTGAGGCGCTCTTTCCGTTTCCGTGCCAGCCCAGGTGATATTATGTTGCATATTTGGACATCTATTGGGTCTCTTGGGCTCCTCCCGGGGCCCTTCCAGGCTGGCTTAGAGTCTAACTGGGGCGCCTGGGTCAAGCTCGGAGGCGTTTTCAGGACGCTCCGGGGTGTTTCATCTCCCCTTCCTCCCCTTCGCCTCCTCTTTCTGCTCCTGCTGCTGTTCCGCCTCCTCTCATGCGGATTGTTCTCCTCATCGTCATATTATTATGATGCGTTGCACGCGTTCTCGATCCCCAGTCATCCTATACCCACCTCTCCTTCACCTTCCCTTGCGCATGCATGTCCTCCCATACGGGCGCATACTTGATCAGCTACAACCGTGGAGTCGACGCGTGCGCGAAGAGTGGGCAGTGGCAGCGGGCACTGGCGCTGCTCAGCGAGATTAGGGAGGTGAAATTGGAGGCCAACGTCATCAGCTACAGCTGCGGGATCAGCTCGTGCGAGAAGGGCGAGCAGTGGCAGCACGCCTTGGCGCTGCTCAGCGAGATGAAGGAGGCGAAGCTGGAGCCCGGCGTCATCTCTGCCACATTTGCCTGCGAGCGGGAGCTCGAGGGCGTCCAAGAGGGGAGTGCTCACTAGGGGGATGGAGCGTCACGACCAGGGCCATCATTCAAACGAGAAAAACGACGGCATAAACATCAATCGTTGGAGCTCCGCGCGGATCTCTGAGATCGGCGCCAGGGCCCCCGCGCCCCAGGGAGGGGTGTCCAGCGCCGGTCCGAGAGAGCCGCGCTGACCTCCGAGAGTCCATGCTCATGTTTTTGTTCAGACCCCTCGGATGGCAGATCTCCAGATCTCATGGCCCCCCTTCTTTCGGTTCGCCCACTGGTCCCCCGGCCCCCTGGCTCGCGCACGCGCCTCGGGCTGCGGTTTGCGAGCCCGCCCGTTGGACGCCCCCCCCCTCTCCTCCGGACGCCCCCGAGAAGGGAGCGGCGGGGCCCCCCTTTGGGGGGGGGGCCCTGCCACTCGCGGGCCCTTACCCTGGGAGTGCCAGGAGGCTCGGACGCGCACGCAGGTGATGGGTCTGTTTTCCGCCGCCGCCACCCTAAGTTGGAGGGGGGAAGGAGGTGGAAAATGAGGAGGAGGAGGAGGAGGAGGAGGAGGAGGGCGAAGAGGAGGAGGAGGGCGAAGAGGAGGAGGAACAACGAGAGGTGAAATCTGCACGAAGCCTACACGCTCACCACGTTATTTGCTGCCGGGTGCGAGGTCGGGGGGATTCCGTACGCACTTCGCCTGCCGCTAGCGCCAGTTGCCGCCTACTCATGAGGCAGCCACCCTGGCCGACAAGCGGAGGACTGATGTGATGACGACCCCACGGCACCACACTCGGAGTAAAGCCAACAGCAGGAAGGAGGAGGAGGAGGAGGAGGAGGAGGAGGAGGAGAAGGAGGAGGAGATGGAGGAGGGAGGAGGAGGAGGAGGAGGAGGAGGAGAAGGAGGAGGAGATGGAGGAGGAGGAGGAGGAGGAGGAGGAGGAGGAGGAGGAGGAGGAGGAGGAGATGAAGGAGGAGAAGGGGAAGGAGGAGGAGGAGGAAGAAGAGGAGGAGGAGGGGAAGGAGGAGGAGGAGGAGGAGGAGGAGGAGGAGGAGGAGGAGGAGGACCCCCTCCTACTTCTGGTGGTGGCGGTGGCAAGCACGCCCACCAGCAGGCGCAGCCCCGGTGGCTCGCGAGCCCGCTGCCCCCGCCGCGCTGGCCCGCGGGCCCTCCCGGGTGGGCGGCGCTCGCGGCGGGGCGAGCAACGCCTGGGTCCGGGCCAGCAGGAACTTGGCTGCCTCTATACGCATGTTTTGATACGCAACACGTACCGTACTCAAGACGTCCGTGCCAATACGTTGCGTGTTGGCTCAACGTATTGGCCCACGTTTGGGAGAAAGTATTGCGTCTGACCCACGTTTTCGGGGTACGTGTTGAACTCCGTACCAATGCGCTACGTGTTGCGTGTTGCGTATCGGGGCGGCTAAGAGCAGGAAGGGCGGGCAATTTGAGGTTTTCTGGGTTCGAGACGGTTTTGTCGTTTGCCCTGTTCGGCCTGCCGCCTTCGGGCCCCGCAGGACCTTGGCAAACGGATCCGGGGCGACGAGAAACGGCAGTACAGATGGACACCGGGAGGGGTCCGGGAACCGATTCTTTGAGCGGATGTGGCAGGGGCCTTCCCAACTGGGCGCTCGCGGTGAGCTGTCCACCTTGGTTACCGCCAGAAGCTCTCCGAGGTTCTTGCCCGCGCTCCCCTCAAGCAAGAGCTGTGCAGCTGTCCTGGATCCCGAAAAATTGAGTCCAGCACCGTCCTTGGAGCTCAGCTCTCCAAGGGGGCTGTCTGTGTTAATCGGGACTTGTGATGGGCCAGGTCCTCGGGCCCGCCCGCCCCTCCCCCTAATTCGGACCCCATCTGGGAGGCCTCTATCCTCGCTCTCCTCGGTCTCCTCGATCCTGACTCCTCGATCTCCTCTCGGCAGCAGGTTGCGCCCGCAAGCTGAACAGTGATGGTGCAGTGCCCTGGACATTCGTCGAAGATGGCAGGGCCGACGTGCCGATTCCCTGCCGGCAGGCAAAGATGGACCGATGCTAAGATGCCCGTGTCTTGCGCAGCGCTAGTGTCTTACAGCCAGTCGGACCTACGTAAAGATGCCCGTGACCGTGCCCGCCCAGCAAGCTGAAGCAGCGAGAACCAGCATCAGACAGCAGCAGCGAACGGCAGCAGCACGCAGTACGAAGCAGGCAGCAGCAGCCTGCACCAAATAAAACTGGCCATCAGTAGCACCTTGCAGCCACAAGAAGCAACATCACGTAGTAGCGGCAACGAGCAGCAGCCCGCAGTAGCATGCGCGGAATGCAAAGCCTGAGCCCCACGCTATCATTTCAATCTTTCGGAAGCATGTCCATTACCGCCTGCTAGTTCGTGCAGGTTTCGTGGACGTAGTTCATGGGTCAGCCCTAGTCCCCTATAGTCGGTTACAGCGCTGGGATCAGCGCGTGCGAGAAGGGAGAGCAGTGGCAGCGGGCTGTGGCGCTGCTGTGCGAGATGCGAGAGGTGAAGGAGGAGCCCAATGTCATCTGCGCTACAATGCCAGGGGAGCCGCGGACCAGAAAGATCAGAAGGCCAAGATAGATTCCAGGCTGCCCAAGAAGGCCCTCAGACGGCCAAAACGGCCTCCGGTCGGCCCAAGAGGCCCCCAAGAACGCCCCAAGAGGACCGCCGAGAGGGCCTAAGACGACCCGATTGGATGTCAAGGCGGTCTAAGAGGCCGCCAGTATGGCCCCAAGACCCCCAGGAGCGAACGCTCCAAGATGGCTCCAAGGCCGCCCCCGAACGTTCCTCGACCACCAAAAAGGCTGCTGGCAGCGCTCAGAGCCGCTCGGGCGGCTCCAGGAGGCCAGGGAGGGGCCCCACGGGAGCCCACAAATCTTCAAAGAGGGCCCCAAGTTGGCCCTAGAAGGGCCACATGCGCAAGTCAAGAGGAGACCAGGTGTCTGGCCGCGCGCTGGCGCCGAGGCCACTGGGACGTTCCCGTGCTCGTCGCTCCTCAACCCTTGCTCCTCCCTCCTGTCCCCTCGTTTCCCCCTTGCAGCCCTTGTCGCCCAGGGTGGGCCTGGGGCTCGGTGGTGTCTCTTCTCGTCCGCCCTGTTGCCGTGCTCACGGTAGAGTGGATCAGGCCACTCGAATGCCACACGAATCCCCCGACTGCTCCTCTCCCCTCTTACCTCCCCCCTCCTCTCCCCCCTCCTGTCCCCCCCCCTCTCCCCCTCCTCTCCCCTCCCCCGTCCCCTCCTTCCCTCCCCCCTCCTCTCCCTTCCCCCCCCTCCTCTCCCCCCGCCGCTCCTCCCTGCTGGCTGCGCGCTCCTCTCCCCCTCTCCTCTCCCTTCGCCTCGCCCCTCCCTCCGGGCCCCGTGGCGCCTGCCGCAGCGGCAATGCCCTTCGCGGCCTCGGGCCTGCCACCGGGGGGCTCGACGGCGGCCCCCAGCCCCGTGGCCTCAAGACGGCCCCCAGGCAGCCCAGGACCGTGCCACGATGGCCCCAGGCCTCCCTTTCAGTTTTTATCGGCTTCAATTCTTGCTCATTGCCGACGAATCTTTGAGAGGTATCATGCCATACCATGTGTCCTGGTTTGAATCTTGTAGCTTTGCGATCTCCCTCCCTCCAAGCGCCTGAGAGCCGCCCAGATGGCCCTGCGAGGCCCGGAGATGCCCCCCACGCGCGCAGGGCAGCACGCCAGCAGGCCAGCGATCTGCACAGTTACGCGCTCGAGCAGGCCGTCGTGGACGTGAGTCCGTGGGTCAGCCCTGGTCTCCACTACCTGGCAGGCGTGCGCGCGTGCGAGAGGGGCGGGGGTCGGGGCAAGGCGTTCTGGCGCCCCGGTGGCCCCTGCGGGCGCTCTTGGGGCTGCCTTGGGCGACTCTTGGGCCGTCGTGGGCGCCTCAGGAGCGGTCCTGGGGCCGTCTTGGGCCATCCTGGGGCTGTCTTCGGTCGTCTTGGGGCCCTCATGGGGCGCTCCTGAGGCGTCCTGGGGCGATCTTGGGAGGGTGTATTGTCCTCTTGGACGCTTTGAACACGAAAAGCACGGGAATTGCGAAAATGTATGTTTCCCCGGGGGATTATGGCGATTTTTGCTTGTGCGGGCTCTCTCGAGACTTCTCTTGGAGCCCACTTGGAGCGTTTTGGGAGCTTCTTGGGTCTGGGGGCTATCTTGGGCGTCCGCGAGCGTTCTTGGACCGTCTCGGAGGCCCTCTTGGACCGTCTTGGGTCCCTCTTGGGGGGCCCCGGCCCGGGGTCGTCTCGGAGCGCTCTTGGGCCTCCTGGAAGCGCGCCGGGGCCTGCTGGCCTCTCGCAAGATGGCATCAGCGCGTGCTAGAAGGGCGAGCAAGCGGCCTAAGAGGAGACCAGGTGTTCGGCCACGCGAGTCGAGTTCATTGGGAGACCCGTGTGCTCGTCGCTCTTCAACCTTTTCTTTCCCTGGCTCCCAACTCGTTGCTTCTCGTCCACTGCCAATGTTCATCGCTCCTCTCTCTTAACTTCTTGCTCATCTCCCTTCACTCCTCCTCGCTCCCTTTTCCTGACCCCTGGCATCCACCTTCCGCACTGGCAGGCCCTCTCACGGCCTCGGAGTGGCCCGCCATCGGCCACTTGTCAGGATTATTTCAAGACGCCCCGAAGCAGCAAGTGGCAGTACGCGGCAGCGAGCGGACGAGCAAGCATCAGGAGGGGGGGAAAAAAAGCAGACACAATCAATCGTCGATCCCAAAGGAAAATATGGGGAAATATGGGAAGTAGAGGGGGGGAAGACGAAAACCCAGCAAGTATTGGAAATATGGGGGATCCTGGGGCTTGTGCGTATCTATTTGCGTGTCCGTGGGCCCCATCGAAGCAGTGACGCAAGCAGCACAGAAAGCAGGCGACCAGACCAGGCCACCGGCTCCAGGCCACCAGGCCGGCAGCATTGCTCTCGAGATGGCCGGCAGGAAGTCAAACAGATTTTTGCGTCAGCGGCGAGGCGGCGACACGCAGAAGCACAGACGCACAGACACAGACGCACAGACGCACAGACACACATACACACAGACGCACAGACACACAGACACACAGACTTTTTGTTACGTCGGCGGATAAGGCACTGCGAAGGCTCTGAACACACAGACACACAGACACAGACACAAACACAGACACACAGAGACACGGACACTGGCACTCGTACACAGACACCGACACACAGACACACAGACACACAGACACACAGACACACAGACACACAGACACACAGACACACAGACACAGACACAGACACAGACACTGACGGACACAGCCACACAGCCACACACAGCCACAAACACACACACACACACACACACACACACACACTTCTTTCGTCGGCGGCGAGGCGGCGAACTCCGCTCCAGCGAGAAGCTAGAAAGGGACATTAAATAGCGAGCTGGCCAGCGGGCAAAGAGGTGGGGGGGACGGCCGAGAGGAAGAAGGGACGCTCAGACGTCGAAGAGTTCGACGATGAGCAGCCGGGGGGGCAGCAGCAGCAAGGTGCGCAGGGCCAGAGCGCGGTGGGCGGCCGTGGCGAACCACGGTGGCAAGGGAGCAAGTCAAACAGACAAGCGGTCCTCACCCCTGCGTGCGAGTACGTGTTCGTGAGCGATGGGGGGATAATGATTCGATCAGTCCGCTTGCAGTGGATGTTGTCCACGGGTCAGCCCTTGTCAGCTACAGCGCCTTGATCAGCGCGTGCGAGATTTGCAGACAGTGGCAGGGGGCTTTGGCGCTGCTCAGCGACATGAGTGAGGCGAAGTTGGAGCCCAGCGTCATCTGCTTATTCAGTTGTACCAGCGCATGTGATAGAGGTGGGCAGGTCATGCAGTTGCTGTCAATGCTCAGCAAGTTTCCCGAGCAGGAGATGTCGGAGCTCAGCAAATATTCGGAGATGATGGTGAGCCGAGCGGCATAAGCAACACCGCCAGGATCAGCGCGTGCGAGAAGGGCGAGCAGTGGCAACGAGCTTCGGCGCAGCAGCTCGAGATGTGGAAGGCGAAGGTGTAGAACTTAGCGTTATCCATGCTAGAGTGCCAGTAGCAGCGTACAGCAGGAGGGATGGGGATGTGTCTTGCGGGGAGAGGGGGGGGGCCACACCACCAGGAGGACACCACTTGTTTCCTCGCAGCAGTAGTCGTGGTGCCGCTTCTCCGTGTTCCTGAGGCGCCCCTGGACGGCGAGAGTTGCGCTCCCCACGTTGGCCCCGCCGGGGCACCAACACAACCTCGGAAGCGGTTCGACCAACGGTTGGTTTTCTCTCGTTTACATGTTGCAGGCTAGTGCTGCATTGCCCCCAGCATGTTTCAAGGAGCGAGCCAGCTGCTTCCCCGAGGGCCCCTGCAGCCCACAAATGTTACAGGGAGGTCTGGGCCGCCACTCGGACTGCCCAAAATGGCCCTGGCTTGCCTCCAAGATGGTCCCAGGACGGCTCCAAGACGGCACCAGATTGCCCCAAGATGGCCGTAGGAACACCTTCCACGGCCGCCGTACCACCAGAAGGGCCCCACGGGGCCAAACAACAAAAACCCAAAAGGCGGGACGCTGAAACAATGGCCCGAAGAGAGTCCAGTAATTAGGCCCCCAGCGAGGCCCCAAGTGGCGCCAGCCAAGAGGGCTCCTGGATAGTCTGAGAGTGCCTCATAGGCTCAAAGTTGCACGACGCCCCAAGACGGCCCAGGATGCCCCAAGAGGTCCCAGGTCTGTCCCGATACACCCCCCAGCAGCAGTAGCAGCAGCAGAACCAACAGCCAGGAGTAGCAAGCGGCAAGCAGAAGTAGCAAGCAGCAGCATGGGAAAACGGCACCAGCAGTCAGTCAAAAACGAGCGGCAGCATCAGCAAGTAGCAACACGTGGTCTACGACAAGCGGCAGTTCTGCAGACAGTCCGAGAAATGTTGTGGCATGCCGCAGAGATTTCAATTTGCTCCAGGGCGCTCCCTCACCCAGACAAGCAAGCCCCAAGACAGACCGCAAGGTGCCCCGAAAGGATCGAGGAGCTATCACTTGGCTGAGCCATGTCAGGTGAGCAAGTCATCTGCGGACCTGCCCCACGGGTGCACACTATCTGCTCTGCGAGTTCTGCACTCCATGAGCCCGCGCGTGCAAGGCAGTCCTGGGGCTGAAACGGCTGTTTTGACTCCTTGCCGCATCCTGGAGCAGTCCTGAGGGCCCGGACGGCCCCAGAGCGCCCCCAATGCGTCCAAGGTCATGCCCTGCTGTCAGAGGGCCCCAGGCGGCCCATGGCGGCCCCTCAGTGCCCCCAAGGCACCTCAAGCTCCGACGGCCCACCGCAGGCGTCAACAGTGGAAGTCTCCAGGGCCGTTCGTGCATGTTCGCCTTCCTTGCATTATTCGGCCCGATATCGCTCCTCAAAGGGCCCGAGGCACCTCCAAGACGCCAGGAGCTCCCAGGCTGGCCCAAGACGCTCCCAAGATGGGCGCGGCCACGCTGCAGGATGGCCCCAAGACGGTCCGAAGACGGCCAATCGAGATGGCCTCAAGGCTCTCCAGCCGCTCCCCTGCCTGACCTCCAAGCTGGCCCCGCGACGGCTCCATGATGGCCCAACTCGGTCCGAAGACTGCCCCCACTCCTCCGACCAAGCTGCGCCCCAGAAGCCCCAAGTGACGCCCTCAGAAGGCGCACCGTGGCCCCCCGCGAAGCGTTCGCTCCAGCCCCGGGCCTCCCGCGAAAACCTCGCGAGAGCCCGGGCGTCCCGCGAGAAGTTCGCGAACGTCCAGGCCTCCCGCGAAACATGCGGGGGAGTTCGGATTTCCCGCGAAAGATTGGGGCCGCCCGCGAAAAGTGCGCGAGAGAGCCCAGGCGTCCTCCCCAAGAGGGCCACACGCGCAGGCCCCGAGCAGGGCCCGAGCTGGCCCCGAGAGCGGCGCGGGAGGAGGAGGAGGAGGAGGAGGAGGAGGAGGAGGAGGAGGAGGAGGAGGAGGAGGAGGAGGAGGAGGAGGAGGAGGAGGAGAGGAGGAGGAGGAGGACGAGGAGGAGGAGGAGGAGGAGGACGAGGAGGAGGAGGAGGTGGAGGAGGAGGGGTGCAGAGTCCGTGCAGTCTGTGCAGAGTCCCCGAGCCTATGAGACCAACACGATCAGCGCAGGGCCCACGATATTGTTTTCTTATTCATTGTTTTGCCGATCGGCGCGGGCCCTCGCACCCCCCCTCCCCCCCTCCCATGGAGTAGATCTTGGCTGTTTTTGGCGCCTGTTTCGAGCGGGTGGAGTCTCCCCCAGAGGCAGCGCTCTTGCAAACAGTCGCACCAAGCAGAGGTCTGGAGCCAGACCCCTCCCCCTCTCCCTCCCCCCTTATGCCCACTGTCGAAACGCCGAATATAAAAAAAAACGCTCACATGGGACCAGCTGTTGTTACTAAGTATGCTCAGTAAGCGCGCTCGGCTGTCAGCCCGCATTCGTTCTCAATACATGGGTCCGCACCAGGCAGCTACACCGCTGGGCTGAGCGCGTGCGAGACAGGCGAGCAGCGGCAGTGGGCTATGGTGCTGCTCCGCGAGACGACAGCGGTGGCAGCGGAGCCCAACGCCATCATCGACAGCGCCGCGGTCCCGCGGCCCCAAGGCTCTGGCCTCGAGGGTGCCTCGGACGGCCCCCGCCAGGCCCCGCCGGGAGAGGGGTGCTCCTGGGCGAGGCCCGCCGCTTCCTCCTCCTCCTCCTCCTCCTCCTCCTCCTCCTCCTCCTTTTCCACCTCCTCCTCCTCCTCCTCCTCCTCCTCCTCCTCCTCCTGCTCCTCCTCCTCCTCCTCGCTCCTCGCTCCTCCTCGCTTCTCCTCCTCGTCGAGGCGGAGGCCGCGAAGGAGGCCCGGGCGAGCAGGCCCACGGAGGCGCGCGGGCTCGGGGCAACGGCCCCCTCCTGCCCCCGCCAGGCTCGCCCGAGCCTGCGTGCGGGTTGCGTGCGGGCCTCGCCGAGGCCCCCGGCCCCTGGCGGGAGGCCCTCGGGGAACGCAGGCCCAGGGGGTACATCGTCGAACCCGCCTCACCTCGCTCGTTCTGGCAGTGCTTTTCGTGCCTGCGAGTGGCCAGGTCGAGGTCTTTGCCCGATCCTGGTCGTTGCTCCCTGTTGCCGCGCATCGAGCCTCAGGTTCTGCGAGGCCTGGGTAACAGATGCATTGTGGTAGATTGCAGCGACCGCTCGTTTATTTGTATATGGCAGACGTGTGGCTGTTTCACCTCTGGGGCACGCCTCGCGAACCTCGCGAATCTCTGTGTGACCCGTCTCGCACCCTCAGAAATGCGAGAGTTGGAGGCTGCTCGGCAAGGGGTTCCACCCCAAGAGGGCTGGGATCACAGTCGATACCTCTTCTTGTTGCCCCCTATAGGGAGGTCAGTGGCAGTGGATGTCAACAATTATGCTAACGGAGTTCCCCACATAGTGATGTTATTGGGATAGCGGAATCAAGGATCATTTTGTCATGAAATTGCCGACCTGCCCTCGCCCTCTCCATCCTTTTCTATCACATGGTTTGCGAATACCCTCCTCGCTCAGGCGGGGCCTCCCTGGAGGGGTGGGAGTGGCACGAAACCTGATAAATGACACTGTTTTCGAATAGCGTCCTCGCTCTGGCGGGGCCTCCCTGGAGGGGTGGGAGGGGCACGAAACCTGATACATAACACTGTTTTCGAATAGCGTCCTCGCTCTGGCGGGGCCTCCCTGGAGGGGTGGGAGGGACACGAAACCTGATAAATAACACGGTTTTCGAATAGCGTCCTCGCTCAGGCGGGGTCTCCCTGGAGGGTGGGAGGGGCACGAAACCTGATAAATGACACTGTTTTGGAATAGCGTCCTCGCTCTGCGCCTCCCTGGAGGGGTGGGAGGGGCACGAAACCTGATAAATGACAGTGTTTTCGAATAGCGTCCTCGCTCAGGCGGGGCCTCCCTGGAGGGGTGGGAGTGGCACGAAACCTGATAAATGACACTGTTTTCGAATAGCGTCCTCGCTCAGGCGGGGCCTCCCTGGAGGAGTTGGAGGGGCACGGAACCTCATAAATAGTACTGCTTTCGAATAGCGTCCTCGCTCAGGCGGGGCCTCCCTGGAGGGGTGGGAGGGGCACGGAACATGATAAATACCACTGTTTTCGAATAGCGTCCTCGCTCAGGCGGGGCCTCCCTGGAGGGGTGGGATTGGCACGAAACCTGATAAACAACACTGTTTTCGAATAGCGTCCTCGCTCAGACGGGGTCTCCCTGGAGGGTGGGAGGGGCACGAAACCTGATAAATGACACTGTTTTGGAATAGCGTCCTCGCTCAGGCGGGGCCTCCCTGGAGGGGTGGGAGGGGCGTATGGCATTGGTATGGTATTGGTATGGTATTGCTATGGTGGGAGGGAGCCCAGACGAAACCTGATAAATAACAGGTGTTGCATGATATTGGTATGGTATTGGTATGGTATGGTATGGCTTGGTATGGTTTTGGTATGGTAGTGTATTGGTAGTGTGTAGTGGTATGGTATGGCTTGGTATGGTTTGGTATGGTAGTGGTATGGTATTGGTATGGTAGGGCTTGGTATGTTATTGTATTGGTATGTTATGGTATGGTATCGGTATGGTATGGCTTGGTATGGCTCGGTATGGCTTGGTATGGTATGGTATTGGTATGGTATTGGTATGGTATGGCTTGGTATGGTATGGTGATGTGCGGAATGGTATCGTACGGTATGGTTTAGAAGAAGGACGCGGGAGGAGGAGGAGGAGGAGGAGGAGGAGGAGAGAGGAGAGGGTGTTCTGGGAAAACAAGAACCCCACTCAGGATGTGGGGACAAATCTCTCCTCCTCCTCCTCCTCCCTCTCCTCCTCCTCCTCCTCCTCCTCTTCCTCCTCCTCCTCCTCCTCCTCCTCCCCCTCCTCCTCCTCCCCCCTCCGACGGCGGACGATGTGGGACTCGCCCTTCCCTCGATCTCGCTCCTCCCCGCCCTCGTCCCCCCCTTCGACGCCGCCCGCACTCTAGCGAACCTGTCCCTCCAGCCCGAAAAGTGTTGTGTCGTCCCCCTGGCGGAGTCATGTACGCCACCCGTGGAGGCGAAATTCCAGAGCATGATAGCCGATCTCGTCCCTCAATGGTCAGAATTTCATGTGCGTGGACACACAACTTTCCTTGGCATCGAGTTTGGCCCTGGAGCGTCATTCGAACAGCAATGGGCCGCCCCCTCTCAGAAATGGCGCGCCCGCACGATCGAGACAGCCCTCTCTCGCTCCCCTGCTGAAGCCAGCTGCAGGCTCTACAATTTCTGCATCCTCCCTGCCCTTAGCTACGTCTGCCAGCTCTTCCCCCTCCCCCCGTCCCTCCTTGGGTCTGAGCGTCACGTCCTTCACCGTTTCCTCCGTCTCCCCCCCAATTCGTTCGGCCTCATGGAGCTCACAGGTATTGGCTCCTGGCTCCCATCTGCACTCCCACGATCCGCCCTTGTGCTCGCTGCTTCGTCGGCCTGGCGAACGGCCTCACTCACTCTTCTTCGGGACGGGCCTCGGGGGTGGGCGGGACCTCTGGAGACCCTTCGAGCGCATGGACAACTGCACGGAACACTCAGTGCTCTAGCGACAAAGAGCTTCTCTCCACAATGTCGGGTACGAGGATGCTCGATCGCTGAATTCCTCGAGGCATCCTCATCGGCGGCGGCCCCTCCACCCGGCGTGGACGCTGTGGCCTGGCGTGCTGCAGCGACAGCAGCCGATGCCGAGATCCTGGCGGCGGTGCAGGACGCCCGCCCCCCTCGCCCGCAGCGCATCCTTTCCCGTCTCCTCTCCTCGTCTCTTTTCCTCGACGCCCTCCCCTCCGTGCTCCATCGGCGTCTCTCCGTCTGGCTCCCAAGTGGAGACCTCCCAGCGGCCCCCGAGCTGCTCAAACGCTGGGAGGCCCCCGAGCTGTCCTCTCCCACACTCCACCATCCTGGGCGTGGGCCCACCTCAAGACCCTGGCGGGGGCCTGGACGACCTCCGCCCGACTTCCTAGTGCACCTGCATGCTCCTGTCTCTTCGGTTGCTCCGACCCAGATGAGTTCCCCCACTACCGCGTGCGTCCTCGTCTTTTGTTCCTCCTCGCTCTCCCTCGCGGGTCTCTCCCCGTCTCGCCTCTCACTCGCCTGGGTCTCGGAGCTGAGCCAGTTTCGGAGACATAATATCCCCGTCAACGATGCCACCAGATTGTAGTCCTCAGCTTTCACATTTACCACAAACTGAAAGCTGGCCTTTCTCTGCGCCGTCGGCCCCCGACGCCGTCATGCCACTGCGAGATTCGAGCCGCCGCACTGGCTGCTATGCGCATCTAGCGCACAGGTCACCACGAACCGCCTCAGGTTACGTGCGTTCCTCCTCCCTCTCCTCCTCCTCCTCCTCCTCCTCCTCCTCCTCCTCCTCCTCCTCCTCTCCTCCTCCTCCTCCTCCTCCTCCTCCTCCTCCTCCTCCTCCTCCTCCTCCCCCATCCTCCACCTCCTCCTCTCACTCCTCCTCCTCCTCCACCTCCTCCTCCGACTCCGACTCCGACCCCCCCTCTTCCACAGCCACTTGGGGCCATGCGTTTTCCACGGCCATCCGGGGCCAAGCGTTTGCATGCCCCACGGGCCGCCGAGCCGCATCTGCAGCTCCCCCTTGCCCCCGCGGCTCCTCCGCCCTCCTCCGCAGTGGCCTCCATGGCGCGCCTTGATCGGCCGGCGCAGGGATTGGCAGCAGGGCGCCGGTGCCAGCTTCGCCTCGGCAGCTCGGGGCTCCAGAGAGAGGGGTCTGAAGGCAAACGGGGGTCAGTCTGAGCGCCCGATCTTGCAGGATCCTGCAGAGCCAAGGGTACATTGACCCGGGCTTTTCCGTAGCCATTTTGGCTCAAGATGGCGGGGGGTGGGCAGCAGCTCGAGTCCATGGGGCTTCTGTTCGCCGTCCCTCCCGTCAAAGGAAAAGTCCACTTTCCTCGCGCGCCTTCGGCGCATCGTGTTTTCACTGACGCAGGCACCTGCCCACCAGACACCGCAGCCCCTCTGGTGCAGGCTGCCGCTCTCCCTGAGCGATGCCCTCCGTGGCGCTGGGGGCTGGCTCCGCTGCTCCTCCCGCTGGTCCTTCTGCGCCTCGGGCTTCTGGCGGCTCTTCGGCATCCTCGGCAACTGACGGTGGTGGCGACCTCCTGCAGCAGCCTGGAGGCGATCCGTGGCTCAACAAGCGTGCGAGGGACCCGAACGGCGAGCCCATCCCGCGCTCCCCCAGGGGTGAAACAGTGGATCCCATGGACGCGATCGACGCCGCCATCGCTGCCTCTCAGGAGTTCCTCGCGAGGCAGTTGGACGTCAAGCTGGCCATGGTCAAGGCGGAGGTCATTGCCAACTTCGGCGAGCAGCTCCAGGGCCCGTCGGCGGCGGTGGTGGGCCAGCAATCCAAGCAAAATGAGCAGTTTAGGGGGGGCATCTCATCGCTCCAGGACACGGCCCACAGGCTGGAGGCTGCTAACAAGGAAATCTGGCAACAGCTCAACGAAATGTGCAAGCAGCTCCACATGCAGGAGGTGCAGATCCCGATTCGTGACTATGAGAGACTCCTGGAGTGGGGCAGAGACGCGGGCACCAGCATCATTGCGGGCACCGCTGCCGAGAACTTCGCTGCTGACAAGTGCAAGCAGAGCATCCAGCCAATCATGGCAAAGTGCGAGCTCGAGGACACCCAATGGTCGATCCAAGGCAGGAGCCCCGCTAGACGCTTCGTGGTCCAGTTCTCGGGGGACGCCAACGCCGCTGCCAGGAGGGTTCGCACCTTCTACGCCAAGCTCACGGAAGCAGATGGCGCCTGGATCAACACCGAGATCACCAATGTCCACGGCCACGCCTCGCGGCTCTACCTGGGTCTGGACCGCTCAGCGAAGTCGGCAAGACGAGGGCTCCAGGACAAAAAGCTGGCTCTGTTCGGTCACGAGCTCGCTCCTGGCAAGCGCTGGCGGGCTGACCGGCAGCAGGGCATCATCTACTGCAACGGCATGCCAGTCGTATCGGTGGTGGTGGGTGCCACCCGAGACACTCCCTCGCGCCTGCTCTTCAACTGCGACGGCTGCTGCACGCGCAACATCGAGAGGGGGGCCATCAAGAAGCGGTTCGAGGAGTTCTTCCAGACCACGTTGGAGGAACGGGAGGTTCAGTGGCGGATTTAGCCTTGCCTTGGCGCTTTGGCGGGCGCCTCACTCCCTCAGCAGCGTCACGTTCTCGACCTGGAATGCCTGCGCTCTCCTCTGCAACGACGCGCAGCAGCGCGAGCGCAAGACCCACTGTATGAACGAGGTGCTGCGATCCTCGTCGCTGCTGGCCCTCCAGGAAGTACACGGCTCGCATGCTGATCTTCTTCATGCTGTACACCTGGCTCACTTTTCACCGATCCCTGGGCGTGGCGCCGGTGGAGTTGCAATCGTTGTGCTTGGCCTGCCCCAGTCCGCGGTCGACGACCCCGC